CCTGCTGTTGATGTACAAAATCTGTGCCTCAGTACTGATGGGCAGGTTTTGCTATTGCACTTGCTCTCCACCCTGATAAGTAGTGCTGCTAAGGGAACTAAAGGGCTTTTTGTCCATTTGAAGCATCCCCAGCCTGCACCTGAGTTCGCATCTTCTGAAGCAACTTCTGACTTCCGTCAACCCATCTCAAGCCACATATAACCATACTGTATTTATTTAAATCCTATATTAAGCAATTCTGTTGGTGCATCCCAAGTATGTTACGAATTCTCCCCACCTCTGTTAGCCAAACAGTTTAGATATCTACTCAGTGCAAGGAAATCCACCTTAATTTAATGCTTAGTCTTTTTTCTCCCCATAGTATATACAACAACCCACTTGCATTCACTGACAAAATTCACAGATTTTTTTTGTAAATTAGATCCCTTTTACACCAGCTTCAGATTATATTAATCCTACTTGCACTCATTCTACCCATGTGAAAGTAGGGTCTAATTTACTTTGCTTTATATACAATTTCTAAATCTAATTTCTTGCTGCATCCATCTAGTGGGTCAGTTCTTGATGGTCCACACTTTTGAAGATTTAGGGTGAGTACAATGAATTGATGTTAGTTAACTACATCATTCTTGGAAAAATCAACAGCTCAAGCAGCTGAACAGCCACTAAAAACAAAGAAATGTTCTTTTCATGTGAAAATTTGTGGACAGCAAAGGAGGTCTCAGAAACTGACCAAAAGGAACTGTCATCTGGAGTTTGCATTAATATATTTGGATGCACTTTTTATACAGCATTCTGCCATGGGTACACCACATTATGAGAAGGATTTATTTTGGATGAGTAGGAATTTCCTGGAATAGCTGAACAGCTATTTCTACTTTTTGCTGTTTTTTTCCCCCAACAAACAGCACATTGTAATTCTAGTTCATAAATGGGAAATAAGATTTCTTTTTCACCTCAGCAGCTGTTCAGTTGTTATCCCATAAAACTGTAGGAATCTTTGATTTATAGTAACAAATCTTTATTCTAAATTAATGAGACACTATAAAAGAAGATACAAGAGAAAATTACAAGGACAGATAGGAAGAGATTATGAGAGATCTGGGTATGTGTAGAGATGATGAGGTTTGTCCCTCATGCACTTAATTTTACGCATGCTGAGCGCTCTCACTGATATCAGCAGAACTCCTTAGTTTATAAACTAGTTCAAGCATAAATCTAACATAATATGTCATATAACTTGTATCATATCATGTTTTGTATATAAATAGGAAGAAAAGTCTCACTATACCTACTGCAAATATGGAAATTTTAGAATTTTAGAGAGAAATAATTTAGAAGACTAAAACCTCAGGAAGGCTGTGCTTTCATCTTAGCAGCCTAAGGCTGATTGCGGACAGATCTGACTCTCAAGAAGAGATGAGTTGGGTTTGGTTTTTTACAATTATGAGTTGTAAAAAGACAGATCTGCATAAAACATTTCCCAATAAAAATACAAAATCACCTAAGGCATTAATTTCAGGACAGCTCTAGAGCTTGAACTGAATCCCCTATTCTCCAGCTGAATTCCCTTTCAGCAGAACAGACCTGTATGTGCTATGCTACTCTGGAAATATGCCAACAGTTTATTCCTCATTAGGATATTGTCACCAAGAGTTCATGATGTCTAAATTGTGAAAGAGCATCCACACAAAAGAGCACAGAGGAGGAATCCTATGGGACCCAGGCAATGAAGTGGCGTGATTTAGGGGCAGAGAGGGATGAGGTCTGTCCTCTGGGATTAAAGCAACCAGCACACCAGGAGGTATGCAAATGCACTGGTATTCACTTTCAAACACTGACATGCCTTGGCACTCAGTTGAATGACTCCATTCAGTTTAGTGGGAGTTTTGCAGCTAGTGGGTTAAGAAAATAGAGTCCTAAACCTCTGGGTTTACTACTCACAAATAACCGTGAGAGGGTGAGCAGCCACCACCCCATAGCTTGTACTTCAACAGCCAGAAGTTGAAGTTTTCAGCCCACATGTAAACCCAGTTTTAAGGAAGGTAAGCAAACTCTGACATAGATGCAACTTTTTCCAGACGGTGGAAAAGACATATTAACATTGCTCCAGAATGCAGAGCCACATTTAGGTCAGGCCTCAGACCTGCCTCTTGATTGCATATGGGATACGAGTTACTGTTGATCAAAAAACCCCAGAGTCCAGGAGCAGCCAGACTCCCCACACCAGCTAATTTATTTGTACAGTAGTGGGCTTCAGGTTTGCATTAAAAATCAGATTAGCACAGAAAGATTCTAAATTAAGATCAGATTATTATGCTGTTGTGGCATCTGTGTACCAACCACTCTTACCTGACAACTGTGCCTCTGTTGGGGATAAAGAAACGCATTTAGAAATCATCTGCAATCCTATAATTTTCCATCTTTTTACCAAATTGGCAGAAAGGCTCCCTAATCCTGCTTGGCTCCTGATCCTGGTTTTAGCTTGGGGAGAACTGGAAGTGAAAACCTGCTGCCCTTCACTTAGGCCAGCTTCTGTAAGAGACTCAAGGACAAGGAGGAAGCTCTTTCCAGCTTGTCCTTGCATGCTAACTTGCCAGCTCTGGTCTTTGGCACATCTGTGTTGACTTCAGTGGAGCTGCTCTGAGTTTATGCCATAGTAAATGAGAAACGGAATAGCTCCTTACATCATTGCCTCATTAGTAACTCTAACTGCTTCATCTGGGGTTTTTTAATGACATCTGAAATTTCAGAGAGGGGTAAAACAAAGGAGCCAGAGACATGAAAAGGGACAAAGGACAATGCTTCTCCAGCTCCATGGTCATCCCTGCACATAGAGGACCAGTTGCTATTGCATATACACTTCCTTGTGTGCCATCATGGGAGAAATAGCCCCCATTTCCCAGCGGTTGCTTAGTCTGTGGCAGTTAATTCTATTCAGTGCTGTTGATCTTTGGATTAATCACCCAAGATGACAACTGATATGCTCGCAGTGCCGTATGTAACTTGTAAAAGAATCCATCGAGGGAATAAAGGAAAGCAAATCTAGTATCGCCATCATGACTCAGGTTTTGCCAGAGGTGGAGGTAGGTCTCACCTGAGGTGGTTCAGACACATGACACAAGTCTTGTAGAGAGTCACTGGCAGGGGTGGGGGGGCAGATGTGCTATATCCACCATGTCCAAGCTTGCACAGGTAAGTTGCTTCCAGCTCCTAGATGCCAGAGTAGTCCTCCCCACACTGGGCTTCTCTGAAACACTTGTCATTCAATGATATAGACATACCTTGGAAATGCAAAAATTGCCCCAAAAGATAGAGTTGCACAGTACTGATACAGATGGCATCTGCTGCGGTCAAAAATTGCCCCAAAAGATAGAGTTGCACAGCCACATGTACTGATACAGATGGCATCTGCTGCGGCACTAAAAATATTTGCGGTTTAAAGCTTAACTGGGAAATGTACTTCATTGTTTTAAGATAGGACCCTCATTTTAGATCTAAATATAGGTACCGTATGTTCCCACACACAAGCACTGCCTTCTCTCACTGTTATTATTGCAAAAAACTGTTGCCAGAAATGGCATGTTGCAAAAGTTAGGCCAGAGAAGAATGCCATGTACATGACAAAATGAATCCCACATCAAACATGGTTTCTAATTCAATTGCATAGTCAGGCACTGGAAAAGGCTGCCTAGGGAGGCTGTGGGTTTAAGTACAGGTTATGCAGATGTCCTTCAGGAATGGTCCCCTTATGCTTAACACCATTTAAGAGCAAAGCAATGAACTAACTGACCTCTTCAAATCCTTCCCAAGACTGTGTTTTCATGCTTTCTAACTTTTTTTTTTTTTATTATGGTGGATTTAGGCATTGCTATTTTTAGTGGCACGGTTTTGAGATTCTGCCATCAGATGAAAGAAATCTTCAATAAAATTGGTTGGGCAGTAAAGAAGCAGGGCCTGATCCTGAACACATATGTTTTGTTGCAAGAAAATTTTGAATATTTTGTGATGCTGTGTAATGATTTTTTTGTAGAGGGCAAGCCAAGAAAAGGTGTGACATATCCATCAACTCTCGAATATTCTTCTTCAAAAAGCACAGCTGTTAAATTGGGTAAGTCATTATGACTGATTTTCCTTTGCATCCATTCATGACTATCTGTTGTATCTTCTCAGTTGTGTAATACAAACATATAACTATTCAGAGTCAGCAGTTAATGCATCTCTTAGTATCTCATCCAAATCCCTCATGGTATTTTTTTATGTTAAGCATATGAAAATTATCCCATCAGCCCTCCTTAACCTTGCCACCTAAGCCCAGGCATCTCAGCTGTACTCTGCTAGAAACAGCTTGTTCTTAAGGTAAAAGTCTGTGTAATGTCATGCTGTGACATCTTGTGATAGAGAATTTCCTACTTCTTTCTTAATTTTAAAAAAGCAACCTTTTTCTTCTGACTTAAATTATAGAAAGTACATTGCGCACCTGGATACAACCCTCTACAACTCTCACTCTCTACAACTACCTGAAGGGAGGTTGTGGAGAGGTGGGTGTTGGTATCTTCTCCCAGGTAACAGGTGACAGAACAAGAGGAAATGGCTACAAGCTGCACCAGGGGAGGTTTAGATGGGATATCAGGAAAAATTTCTCACAGAAAGTGTAGTCAAACATTGGAACAGGCTGCCCAGGGAAGTGGTTGAGTCACCATCCCTGGCGGTATTTAGAAGATGGGTAGATGAGGTGCTTAGGGACCTGGTTTAGAGATGGGATTGGTAGTGACAGGTTAATGGTTGGACTCGGTGATCCTAAAGGTCTTTTCCAACCACTATGATTCTATGATTCTATTCTATACTTAAATCCAATACTTAAATCTGTAGGAGGTAAAGGCAGTCCTTTGAGGATTATACTCACTTGCTGCCAGATCAGTGAAAAATCCTGCTTCAAACCTGATCAGCTGTCAGAAATGCAATTTTGGTCCTTATCCCAGGGACGCTGGAGATTCATGATGCCTGACATTTCTTTAAATGCTGTCATGGTGGTTGCAGTGCTTCCCAAATCCTGGGCACAGCAAGAAAAACCTTCCCAAAATTGCAACTATTCACAGCTGGTAAAAACAAACAAAAATTGTTGTTTTAAAAAAATAATACAGTTTTTTAGGAAACCATTAACACTGGAGTAATTTGTCAAATAGGTCAATGCAGCCAAAACAGCTAGAGAAGAGAAAAATACAGAAGACTAAAATCTTTCAGTACTCAGTTAGACATAAAAGCAGAGGCAGATTCTTTTGCACACTAGCAGTAAATAAACTGTAATAAATATTTCACATTCTTTGGGTCCTAGAAGAAAAAAAAGGACCAAAAAAAAATTTCCCTTTTCCTTCTAAGCCCTTTCACAGCATTTGGGATTTGGCCCCATGATGATCTGACACTGTCAGGCAAGAAAGAACTATATCTGAATGTGAATTAGTGACCAAAATATTGCATGTGTAGCTAGTGTTCCCCAAACACCCTACACACACCATGACCCCGATTCTCAGGACACTCTGCTACTCAGAGGAAAAAATAACAACATGATGCATTAATCTTCTGAGTATTGGTTTATTAATGCTAAAGAGCCATATTTATTGCTCACTTCAGAAACTCTATTGACATTGGCAGGAGCTTTTGGGCAGTAAAAATGCCTAAATTTGGAACCAAAAAATATGGGGTGACTACTCTCTAGAGGCACCCAGCCATCACTTTTTCTCACATGATGAGAAAGATCTGATTAGACTGACTGACCTACCTAATGCCAGGTAATGGGATGCCTTCCTTTGGGAACTGATAATCTCTATGTATAAAATTCTTTTCTTCCAGAGCCACATTTCCTAATGTGCTTAATTTTCCTTCAGAGCCTAAAAAGCCAGAGCAAGACCTGAAAGTTACAAAGAGTGCAGATACCGCTAACACTTCAGAAAAAGCATCGGAACAAGGTATGGGTTGGTGTTGTGATTTAACCACAGCTGGAAATTAAACACCACACAGCCACTTGCTCACTCCCCTCCCTTGGTGGGATGGGGGAGAGAATCTGAAGGTAAAAGTGAGAAAACTTGTGGGTTGAGAGAGATAAAGCCATTTTAACAGGTAAAGCAAAAGCCGTGCACACAAGCAAAGCAAAACAAGGAATTCATTCACTACTTCCCATCCACAGGCAGATGTTCAGCCATCTCCAGGAATGCAGGGCTCCATCACATGTAATGGTTGCTTCGGAAGACAAATGCCATCACTCCAAAAGTTCCCCCCTTCCTTCTTCTTTCCCCAGCTCTGTATTGCTAAATGTGATGTCATACAGTATGGAATATCCCTGTGGTCAGTTGGGGTCAGCTATCCCAGCTGTGTCCCCTCCCGATCCCTTGTGCACCCCCAGGCTCCTCGCTGGTGTGGTGGTGTGAGAAGCAGAAAAGTCCTTGACTCTGTGTAAGCGCTGCTCAGCAATAACCAAAACATCTCTGCATTATCAACACTGTTTTCGGCACAAATCAAAAAACATAGCCCCATGCTAGTTACTATGAAGAAAATCTATCCCAGACATAGCAGCACCATTGAGGATCTCGGTGCTCTTCTACAGTACCCCTCCCAGTCTAAACTGCCTGCAGATGCTTATAGGAAGCAGTTTGACATAGGTAACACACACAGCTTTACCCTCCCCCCCATCCAACCTCCTCTCTATAGCCTTTTTCCCACTGAACCAGCCCCATTATGTATGTGCCTGCGACAATGCTTGAAGGACATGTGACCGTTCAGAGAAGAGGAGGCACCCTCTCAGATTAATTTCTGTGTTTTGGGTGAGTTCAGGTGCTGTGAACTTCAAAAGCCTGCGTTAAGGCTCCTGGCAATTTCCTATGCAGGGTATGTGCCCTGCAAGCCATTTGAAGATGCTGTGAGGGTGATGGGCACCCTGCCCACAGGAGGAGGAGGGGCAGGGTGGAGGAGCATTGGAGGAGCATTGGGCACAGCTAGCCCTCAAGAGCTCTCATCTTGTGTAAAAGTCTCCACAGAAACCCAGACAATATGCACCAAGACAACATCTTTGCTTTGCTCGTACTATGCTGCTCCCTTCAGTTTTCTGCTAATACTGTTAGCTCCCAGCTTCCTTGCTCCTTGCAGCCTGGGGTATAAAGCCAGCCGATGTGTCTGCTCCCCACCCCTGCAGCACCAGATCGCAGGGGAAGAATCACTGTACCCTCTGCCTTCTTTCTTTTAGTGCAGCAGCGTGGAGCAGGGCACCATTCAGCCCAAAGAGAGCCATTCATACTGAATTTTTCAGCTGAGTTGTTTTGGTTTTCTTCTGAGCTCCCTTTCAGCATTATCCCATTAAAACTGTCTGAGATCTGAGTTTTCCACTGGCGCGCATTAGGTGGTAATTAATCCAGTAGACAGTTTCATGATGATGCTTTCCAAAAGGAGAACATCCAGCAATAAAATACAAGCTTGTGCTTTGCAGCAATGAACAAACCGCACAACATTCCCTTTCAGTGTACACAGTCTGTCAGGCCATCCCCAGGGCTATGGGCAGGGAGAAGAGGAACAAGACTGAGGTGAACATGGAATGTATTTTAGGGCAGTTATTTGTAGATAGATGAAGATAACAGTGAAGGCTCTTTTTCAAGATGATGACTTGAAAGAGCTGTAAGCGTGTTAAAGGCCTCATATAAGGATATTTAGGATGCAAATTTTGCAGCTAGAATTGTCACTGTTCTCACAACGAATGATACATTTTAAAAGTAGTAGCAACTGTGAGATGAGTGAAAGTTAGATGAAATTGTCACCTCTCAGGTGGTACTCTCCCTGGCTCTCCTCAGCCAAAGACCTAACACTCCCTTCTCAGGTTCTGACCTGCTCCCTGAAACACCATTACCTGTAAGTTGTCTTTCTGCCAAAAGCATTTCAGTGCCTGGTGGGCAACACATATTTTATTCTGGTCTGTGACTTAGAATGGCCACCTTTTATTTCCAGTCGTCACTTGATTTCCATTTCTATAGACTTTCTAACTGCTTAATTACACTGAGAAAAGATGATGGCAAACTGGAAACTGCAGCTGGCTGATTGAGCCATTTCGTAGGCCTGAGACATCTGTCAGGTTGGTAGGTGTTCCTGACCAAAGTAGAGAAAGTGTAGAGGAAACACTAAGGCTACAACAGGCTTTTGTCAGCACCCTCTGGAGAACGGTGTGATATTGTACCACACAGGCACATGTGCTACACATCCACACAGCAACAGCAGTACTAATGGCTCCACAGGTGAGGATGCTTGCAGACATCCTGAGGAGAACACCAGTGTCTGGATCACCTTAAACACTGAGCACTATTAATGATGCTTCTATGCATGTCACACATCCAGCCGCAGTGATCGTGTCAATGTTCTTACAGGGGATGCAGTCCGCAAGGAGTATCAGATGTCCTTGGTACTGACACCAGCTACACAAATGGCCACCACAACCCCTACTCCAACGACCACGACGACAGATCCTTCCACAACACCAAAGCCAACCACAACACCTACAACAACCAGAACCACAACAGTTGCAGCTGCAGCCAAGACTCGACCCGGACTGCATAGGGTCAGAGATATAGGTCAGTAGCATGGATGTTTGAATTGTTTGCCTCCTGACCTACAGCTTTCCTAAAATTCAAGGAACGAGACGTGCAACTGAATATACCATGATTTAGTGGATCACGAATTCAGTAATTCAATGTAGAAACATTAGGAGTGGATTAAAAAATTAATTCCAGCAGCTGGAGTCAGAGTTGTCTTCGAGGTACATAGAAAATTAGTGTGTCTCACATAAGAACAAATGTGTGTAGATTCTGAGATGACAGTTTATCTGCAGTAAATTTATAGCTAGTCTTTATATTTACATATAATATACTGGCATATAAACTGATGCATGTGGGAGTAAACTCTCCATTCCCAAATGCTGTCATGATTTGCAGGTATACAAATAGAACAAATAGTCCTTTGATTCATGTTTCTGGACTGAGAGTTCCAGAAATAGGTCAAAACTAACTTTATGATTTTGTGATAACTTTCAATAAATGAAAGTTGTAATATATATATTTTTATAAAACATTGTGAAGGAATTCTCATATTAGTTTTGCACCTGGTTTTCCTTAATCTTTCCTCCTCCATTTATTCTTATTCATTAACATTGGGGTTTTTGTTTTAACAGCTGAAATTTAAAATCTCTTATTTTTAGGTTCTAGCAGTGTCCACCCAGCATACTCATCTGTGGTAGCTGCAGCATCAAGTAAGTATGGTGAAGATGTGCCACGAGGCATGCAGTACAGTGTATTTTAAGGTAGCAGTGATTCAATAACTTTTCAAGCCTCAGCAAGCTCAATTACTGAATCCAAGTCTGGATTTAAACTAAAAAACAGACACTTGGCCTGAATGTCAGAGACGCTGATCACCAACAGCTCTGGGGAAGCCTTTCTGCCTTTCCAGTGAATATCTGTGCATTTCAGCCTTGACAAATTCTGGGTTTTGCAATACTTGAGACAGAGCTTGTGCTGTTTAAATTGTATTTTCCCACTGTTTCATTCTGCCTTACTCTCTCAAAGGGAGACTTGATTTAGTTGTAAGATACATGATGCAGAGGGCTGCATACCCATCTAAACTTCGGGCTGAGAGCTCTGAAATACCAACTTATGTTAAACCAATGCTCTTTTGAAAATCTCAGGCTGTGGTTCTGAGCCTGGATGTTATTCCTGGCATGCCACTTGTGTTATTGACAGCAGAGTGGAGGCTGGTCAGAGCTCTGCATCTCAGTCCAGAAGCCAACTCCTATTCCAGTCTGCAGCCTGCAATGCAAGTATTTAGAGATGTTTTCCCACACAATATGTAATTGCTCAGCTGTGCAGTCAAGTAAAGGAGAATATTTTCAACTGATTGCAAGTTTTTGAGCATGGAGATATGACTGCTTTTGAGTGAAAAGGCAGCTGGGCCATCATTAGGTTTTATGCTCTGTCATTATTTCTGAGCCCTTTGAGATCGGCTTTGCTCTCACATATGTAACTGCAGCTGTCCTAGCTGCCAAGAAATTCAGAGTTGAACACATAGCAAGGCAGGCATCTTTTGGGCAATTCAAGTTTTTAGGGAAAGCATCATTAAGTCAAATTTAGCTGTGAGCCCAGAATAAGGACAGAGGCTGGAGGGGTTAATCTTACGGAGTCAGATGTGCAGGTATGTGTATGGTAGGATTTACAGAAGTGCCAACGCAATTCAAAGGGATTTAAATTTAGTAGAAATCTGCATCATTCGGTACCTGATGTGCCTGTAAACCTGGTCCTGCTTGCTGCTTTCTTTTCTATTTCCTATGCCCACAGAAAATATGGGCATTCTATGCCTGAGCACAGAAGAGGCCATTATTGTCTTTATTAGCAATTAGGAAACCCTATCTGAGGTTCCCCAGTCAGAGATGCATGTCGAGAAATCCTGGCAACACTGAAATCGGTGGGAAGGTTATATTTGTCTTTAGTAAGACCAAATCTTTAGTCAAAAAAATGAAAACAATAAAAATAAAAAAGGACTCACTTATTCAAGTCTTCCAATGGTCACTTCATTGCAATTCAGGTCTGTATTTCTTCACAATTTTCTTTACTGAAGTTCTAAACATAAATTACCTCCCAAAAGATTAAAGTGATCAGTCTTAGGAACAGGTTCTTGTGAGCTGGAGGAGTGGTGGAAACCTACTTCTGATTTCACAGACTTCACTTCTAGGACCATGTCTAGCATGTCCATACTCAGTATCTGGCTTCTTGAATTCTCCTGATCACTTCTTGATTCTAAAAGAGAAGAACTGGTTAAAAAAAACCAAACCCAAACAGTAAGTATAAATACAGTTTTGAAGCTATGACCATACACAAAACAGTTTATCATCAGTTTTCTCTGTCTGAGAAGCCTTTAGGACTCACTGCTATTATTCAGGCCAGAGAACCTGATAATGCCTTCAGCCTTAACCAGAGTTTGGCTTGACCTGACAGAAGCAAACACTTTCTCCTGTCCATCTTGGCTCACACGCACTCACAGATCTACCTTTCACAGTGCATTGGGGGTTTGCCTGCAAAAGACACCTTAAATAGCCTCAAAATAGAGGACAGTCAGAATAAGAATGGCCATGGTTGCTGTTAGCTCCAAAATTTCCAACTCCAGCCACTGGTACTGGCAAAAGTTCACAGTGGCAAAAGAAAAGCAGGACTTGTAGATTAGAATACTACAGCCGGGGCAAAACTCCTCCATTCTAGCTCTTGCTGTTCTTTCCACTTTATCTTCTGTTTGTCAAAGATACAGAAATGAGAAAAAAATATCTGAGACTCTGCTCCATTGCAGGACCCCTGCTTTAAAGACTTGATGTGGCAAAGCTGCTAAATGAAAAACCACTGATGAGACTAGCATGACATTTGACAGCTTATTCCTTTCCGCCCTACTAGCAAGTGCAGCAGTTCACCAATGCAGTTATGTGGTAAAGGACAATCCTGAGGGGGGAGCAGCAATGGCAGTGGGCTTTGAAAGTGGATACAAACTCTCTCCTGATCTGGGGACAACTTTAAGTTCAGCCACGCTCTGGTACAATTATGGCTTCTGCCTCTGTCCAACAGCAGTTAACCAAGCACACTCCCAGGGGCCATGAACTCACTTGCCCTCTCCCATCCTTTTTCAAGCAATCCTTTCTTGCATAGCTGCTTGGGCCCTATCTGAGGATTGGGAATAAATTCAGTGTTCCAGTGAAGACTGGAGCCATAAGCCATGTCATGATCCTCAGTGCTGGCAACCAAGCATCAGGCAGTGAGTGCCTGGGCATCCTGAGGCAAGGCGCTGCCCTGCACTCTGTACCCAGCTCAGTTCAATGGTTGCATCTCTTTTCAGACAGGGACTCTAAGCTGGGCGCTGCCCACCACTGTACACTACACTGCTTTCACCCCCAGCTGCAACTCAATTTAGTAGTAAAAAATAATTTTTAAAAAGACAAAAAAAAAAAACAAAACCCCAAAAATGACTAGGGACACAACAGTAGTGTAAGTTCTAGAGAAAGCTCTTCTCCAGCAGCGCCAGACCACCAAGGCTCATACCTTCAGGAAGCACTGGCTAAGGGCTCTATCTTGGTGCTAGGAAGAACAGCTGGCATTTATTTTTGGATGCTGCCTTTCCCCCCAAAGTTAACCCTGACTACTTAGCCCATCAAAGGTCCTGACCAAGCTGCAGAAAGCAAGGCATGTTCTATGCACGGAGTAGCTGCTTGCCTTCTAGAACCAGTTCCCATCATTTGCAAGGTCCTCTCCAAATTGCATTTCTTTCTGCTGTCCCTATCCTTTACCACCTCTATGCCTCCCTGCTTACCACAGGACTTGCTCCCAATCAACATTTCTCTACTCCACTGTTTTCATTTCTGACCCAGTTCTTGGAATTCAACAGGTGACTGTCTATCCCCAGTTTGTTACAGACTTCTCCTAGTCCTGTCTCATCCTCCAGCTTGCACAGAGCTCTGCTTTAATGAACACACATTCACATGCCACAGGTTTGCTGCTATCTCAGATTTGAAGGAAGAACAAACCTTGCAGACCATGAAAGTACAGTTCCAACCTTTCCCCCTCTACCACCATCATGTTTGCCCCTGTCAGCAAAAGCACGGCAGATACCAGCTTACTGCAGGGACAGTGGTAATAGGCCTTTGGGAGCTAAAGCAAGAGGGAACAGCCCCAAGGCCCAGCACAGTCAAAAGGAGCACAGAGAGAAATCCACATTGGTAACAGAGGTGTGGAGGGTAGGGTTAATTTATTTTAAAATTGGTATAAAATACTTCTGATACCAAGCTAATCTCTCTCTTACCCTCTTGTACTTTGTTCCTACTGACCTTGTAAAGAGCGTTATATATACATTTGGGCTCAGTTGTGGCAAACCCAAAACAAGGCAAGCTCTCAGGCTCAGAGTTAATTTTCTTCCACCTATTTGGCACGTACCGATCTGCTGCGCTAAAAGCATGCCCTGCAAAACCCCATACAGCGCTGCTGCACGGGCAGACTTTTCCCTCTGCAGCCTGAAGACTCAGCCTGAGTTAGATGCGGTCCATCTGGAGCCAGAGCTACAAACTTACAGAGTTTAAAAGCCTTGTCAGTTTTGGCAGATGAGCCTGTTATTTCCTTAAACAGGATCTCTTTGGCATCTGGAGTTTACAAGGTCTCTCAGGACAGCTCCTAGAAATTCCATCAAAGGGCTTCCAGTGGCCTGTGAAGGTTCGAGTTTGGGTCAAACACAAGCTATTTGCTGTCACCTAATTTTGTAGTATCAAATTCCCAAGAAGCAGTAATTCCTGTTTTCTGAGACAACCATTCAAAAAGGTCTCATTTATGGTATCTTATTGATAAAAATATTTCATGGGCCTCTGTCCAGTGTTCACAGGAGTCAGCTAGAACATTCCCACTCATTTCACCAGGCTTTGGAATTAATCTTTCTGGGAAAACTAATGAATAAAGGCTTGTTATAGGATAAGTTTGTCAGCAAGCTTCTTAAGAATAATTAATGAAATGAAAGGCATGATTAAAGATGTGGTTTTCATCTGTAAATGCTTTGCACCTTTAGTATTTTTGAACAATGGGAATTTAATAACTCAATCACCTTTTGTGTAGACAGTGGTGAAGACATTTCAGACACATGAGTTCTCCCACATTATTTTTGTCATTGTCTCATTATTTACAGTCTGCCTGCTTGTTTGTATCCACTCACTCTCTGAAGAAAGGGTAGTATCTCGTCTGGGGCGTTTTGGGGGGGCTTTTTTTAACCTTCCTCACGAAACCAGCACAACTGGATGGCACTAAAATAGAGATAAACATAGATAACTAGTGTGAGCGAGAGAAGAAAAGTTAAAAGGGAAAGCAAATCACAGCAGTAACTACAAACTTTTTAAATGCAGATCAGAGACTTGTACGAGTAATATTCATAACTGAAGGGAATGTTAACTAGGATAATCTATGACAGACAGAGCAAGGCAATCTTTTTTTAAGCAGGCTCAAAATACATAGTTGGCAACTGAAGAAGTATATTAATGAAAACTCTCTAAATATGAAGCATTAACTCTGGTAGTTATAAAATGATACTCTCTGAAAAAGACAGGTAGCAGTAATCCTGAACCAAACATGGTATAAATCACACTTATCCATTTTGATGTCTACTTAGGACAGGTTCAAGCTGCACAAGGAAGAGGACAGAATACAGGTATGTCTTAAATAACGAGTAGATTTGTATTGCTAAAATACTAGAAAACCTTGTGTTTAAGTTCCATGTACTAACCAATATAATATTTTCAAAGCATTCAGGGGCACTTCCACCTCTACAAGTAACAGGAATATTTTACGACCCAATACAGGTAAAGGCTTTACAATCCTTCCTCTAATTCCTCCCCGTAGCTAGTTCCACCACTCACATCTACTGAGTCATGCAGTAATATGCAATTTTTTGCTCTTAACCATGTCAGTAGCAGAATGCAGTGAGAGCAGATATCACACTGCTTATTGTGTAACTTTCAGGAAAAAAAAATGAAACAGGAATAATTAAACTTAGAATTTTCTCAAAATAGTATTCTAAAACCATTTATAAAGGTCTTTTATAAAATTTGCTTTTGTAAAATGAGAGGGGAGTTTTGTGTCTGTGTAAGTTTGGGGGATGAAGGCCTGAGTCTGAGAGGAGATGTGTTTTCAGTTTCCAGGCCCTAAACATCATCAGCATTTCAGGATCCACTACCAGTTGTTCTGTGAATAGCTGCACTGTGCAGCACCTACTAACATTTAAACTCTTCTGCTTTTGCCAGCCTCTTTCAGCTTTTTTTTTTTTTTTTTTTTTAATATATAGTTCCTATCTTCCTTTCCCATTTATTTTGAAAACGTGCAGAAAGACAGTTTGGGGCCACCTTATCCCTTGCAACCATGCTTCTCTCTCCTGGCCCACTGGCATCTAACCTCTCGCCTCTTTGTCGGATCACACAGGTATTCAGCGCCAAGAGCCTGTTGCTGCCTTCTGGAGGGCTGCCGGCTCTCCAGCCCACCTGGGTGAGCAAGATTGATAGTAGCAGATTTTCTGCTCTCTTTCATAGTTTTAGCAACCCCAAATTAACCCTCAAGCACTACTGCAGATTGATTTCCTGTGTCCTGGAGGAGGACCAGGGCAAGCCTCACACACTGAGTGCCAACTAGCAGCTTCCTGAATGCAAAAGGCAAAGGACAGCATGGTCACTGGCGAGCTGTTATTTCAGGCCGTGGGAATCAACATCTACTGTAGTGATTGTAATTTTCCTTATTTGTTAGTCCAAACAAAGAACAAAAAACAGCTCTGTGAAGCCTATCAGGTCTGCAATAGAGCTAAATCTTCTGTCCCTGGTGTTCCAAGGAGCCTCCAGGCTGATTGCGACCATAGAGGTTGCCTTTAATACTGAGGGTAGAAACATCACCTGTACTTTCCTTCCCCCCTGGCTCTGCAATTCACCATCCTTCACCAGCAAGCAGCTCCATCAGCCAGTGCTCAGCAAGGCCACCAACAACTTTGCAGGGCTCCAGACTGCTCAGTGCACATGGAAACACTAGCTCTCCCTTGGTGGGACAGCAAAGGTCCTCAGAGACAGATTTTGTCTGGGAGTAGCCAGAGCACGGTGAGGAATGAGAGCTGGGGTGGCAGCAAGGTAGGCGTAGCTGCATCTCACCAACAAGCACCAGAACCACAGAGCCCCAGCAAGAAGAACAGAGTGGGTGTGGTGGTGATACCCAGGGCCAGCCGACAGCCCAGGCTGCCGGCCAAGTCCCCATCGATGAGGCAGGTCTGATAACTGAGGCAGGACACCAGACCGGCAAGGTCAAGATCAGGGCCCTGAGAGCTTTGCTTAGGTTTGGGAAGCACAGGAGGTGTATTGCAACAGGAGAGAACAAAGTGGTCATTGACATTGGGGTTAGAGGGTGTTATTATGCAGTAGGACTTGCTGGATAATACTGGCCAAGTAAGTTTACCCAGCAATCTCCCCATAAAAATTACAATTTGTAGTTGACCTTGTTGCAGCATATTTAGAATGGATACACTTCTCCTCCTCCTAAGATTTATTCTGTTCCCTCATTTTTCTGCCTCTCCTCCTTGTTTCAGTCTCCTCCTCGTTTCAGTCTCCTCCTCTTTCCTCTGGTTTACATCAGTGTTTGTCTTTCTTGTACTTTTGCTCATACTGGTGTCATAGACATTTCTTTTTTACTAATTTCACATTTCTTGTTCCCTTTGCCTTTGTCAAAATCCAGTGCCCACCTTTAGAGGGGCAATATTTTCCTGGACTGAACAGCAGAGTAAATATGCTGCCTGTAAACATGCTGATTGTGGCAATGCACTAATTATGTGACACCACATATAGGGTGGAGATAGCCTGGGGTGGCAGACCTGCCTTCCTGGCGGGGCTGAAATGGGAAGAGCCCTAACATCTGGACCAAAGGATGTGCTGGCTAATCCTCAGGCTAGCTGAATCTTTGATAGAGAAGCAGGGAAACATAGTGCTGAGTTGGGTTTAAATCAAAGTCAGATTTTGACCCCGCCTGATTGCTTAAGGCACCTTAAGGTAAACCCAAAGGTGATTACAAAGCACAAATTTCCCATCATGAATTATTCTGTTTTCTTCATCACAGAACAAGAAAGAAAAAAACCCCACAAACACATACTTGTCATATTCCCAATGAGTCCTGATCTTTCTTTCAGCCCATGTTTTGGCAGCTTGGATGTCTTGCTTCCAAGCAGCCAATTTTTCTAACGATCAAAGGGAAATTCCTGAAAAACTGCTTGCTTTCTTGGAAAGGACACTTGTTTTTCTTGATCCTATGAAGCATGCACACGCTGCTCTGCAGACAACAGCAATCAGTTGTGTGGGTTTGGATGGGCTGTTGAGGAACTTCCTCTCATTGGCTCAGGTTAGCAAAAGGTGTGCTGGGAAAACACTCACCCTGACACACCGGTTGCCTGTGAAGCTTCTTGCTGTACCTTCTTCGGAAGGTCCCAACTCTTCCAAGCTCTTATCATTTAACTCTCTTGAAATTCCATACTCACTTAGTCCTGATTTTTTTTCAAAACAATCATACTAAAGAGGTGTGCTGGTGGTGTCTTGGGTTTTTTTAAAGTCCAGTCTTACAGTATTTTAGAAATCAACCCTTGATTTTTATGGGCACCATCAAGTGGGGGGGGAAGAGCCCTTCATACTCATAAGAATAATCATTCCCCTTTCAAATACACATTTCACTGAGAGCTTTCTTCATTATGTGTCTAGGACTACATGCAAGAAATAGAGCTTTTGCCTGTTACGGGTCACTCAGCTGTATATTCGGCATATTTGCAGCCAACTACCCAAAATCCTTGGCACTTATCTAGTGTTTTTCTTCATTAAGGAGGAAAACAGAGGGGCTTTTTCACCACAGAAATTTTTAAAAGGGTGTAAGCCATGAAACAACTGTTCAAAGAAGCAATAGACAGCTCTCACCCACAGGGATTTGGACAGACTAGGGCACCTGCAGTTATCTGAGTAATTCTTGAGAAAAGTGAATCTAGGAAAATCTTCATCATTGCTCCTATGGACAAAAAACAATCTTTTCCTTTTCCAGTATCTGTCTGTCTTTTTTGAGCTTAAGCAGTCAGAGAAGTTAGAGGAGTCTGTGCTCTGAGTATAGTCCCCAGCAATGAGCTGGCAGCAGAAGCAAACCTGTGATACATGGGACAGGCGCATTCCATTGTGTCCTTCAGCTTACAAAGAAGAGAAAAGTTGGGCAGATCTTTGTGTAGCTCCACAGCTGGTTCCACTGCAACTCACACAGTAGCATATTTGCACAGAGGACTCAAGAATTGTGGGGTCTTCTTCATGATTTGCTCTTTTGCTGTTTTTTTTTTTCACCTGGTCAGGCAGAAAAGTAGCTTCATACGAATCTTTTCTTTTCTCAGTCACTGGACACTTCTCCACCCTGGGACAGTGAAGCACACCTTTTGAGATTATCTACTCACAAGCTGGTTTCACCGAAATCTGTTGTTCTCAGAGACAGCATTCAGGAGACATGTTGTTCACTCTAATAACAAATAAGCACTGGGTCTTCTCTATGGATAGGCTCCTTCTGCTCTGCAACCAGCACCCCTAGCTTCAGTTGCTGCTGTTTCCTCATGAGTCTGCTGAGGGATGTACAAAATTCTGGCAAATCTACCCTATCCAGGTGGATGATAAACTAAGAATATTCCTCCTGTCTTTCCTCCTGTTTCCTTCCCTAACCCAGCCCTGCCCTTCCTTCAGCCTACTTCTCCTAAGCAAAATCACAGCAAAATTTCTGTGTGTATCATGACTGACTTATCAGCCCTTTGCTTTCCTCAGTGTTTAGATTCTTCATAAGGTGTTTAAGTAGTGCTCAGTGTAAGGAGGGAAAGATGCCTGGAAAAATCACCTTAGCAATGAAACATGATGGGGTTCCTCCTACTCTAAGGGAGACCACACACCTTAATCAGCCATCTGTCTCATGTAAGAAGTCTCTAACTTCTCCTTGGGATGGCAACCTAAGGGCAAGGTCAGTCCCCTCATTAGGCTGGAGGACACTGGCAAGCCCATGACTTTTTCCAAACCTACATTGTGGTCCACCCGCTGACTCTAGCCAAGAGCACACCAGCTGCCAGCCTGGGTAGGGAAACTCAGGGACAGGAGGCAGTATGGATTCAATGGGTCTGAGTCTTTGTAAACCACTCTGAACAAACCTGGAGGTGGACTGTCAGGGGTGAATGATCTCACCAGTGCTCCTTGGGACTGTTCTTGTCGGCTGCAAGGGCTTTCATCTGGCTGTGACCCAGAGTAAAACATCACTTTTTGGGAAAACTCTTCAGCAGGCTCCAGAAACAAAGACACTTTGGGGTTTATTTATGAAAGTAGCAATTTTGATGAATTTTTCCATGCCTGAGAGTTTGCAAGCAAAATGTAGACGTCATATTTGTTTGGATGCATTGAGGGGATAGAAAAATTCATAGATGAGAGGCGCTTGCAGGTTCTGAGTGGAAAGTGATCTAAGCCAAGCAACAGCATACTGAAGTCAGTATACTTGCCTCAGTATCAATGCAATTTAGAGGAACAAGACCAAAACAGATCTAAAGAGGCATACTTAAAATCATAAAAAGATTAGGGTTCTGGAGGCAGTGATACAAAGTTCCTAAATATGTTTTGAAATGAGGACATAAAGGTTTCTAGGTTTACCGAGTTCCTTAGGTCCTAGTTGTTAATGACAATTCACTGTATGAACTGACCTTTCTAAACTGGGGCAGAGCTTTGTAACCTCTAGTAATTCCATTATTTTCAGTAATAATTTTTCTTCTCTTTCATGGGTGAAAGCAATGGAAACAGACTCATGGAAACCTGGATTGAGCCTTTTTGACACAGGTAAATTTTAAAATATAACTTATTCTGGGAATAATTGGTTTCCATCACACATGGCAAAAGCTAACTCTTTTCATCAGGTCCATGACACTGCTGATAACAATCTCATTTTAAGGAGTACGGTATTTAAAATTACAAATGAGGGACATAGTTTACATCTTAGTAGTGAAAATTTCTATGCTTGCATCAGTTGCGAGTTCCTGCCTAAAACAGGAGCAGAACAGATGAGTTCTGGAAAGAGTTGTCAGCTACACTGCAGGAAAGGGGTTCTAGCTACTGAAATCCATTTGTAAATAAGAAGTTATTTGGGGAATGCCACAGTTGGGATCGCAGTCTAGAGCTGCAATCAGTGAAGAAGATGACAGATTATTCTGATGTCAATGTACTTAGGAAAGACATTCAGATAAGAAAAGGAGGGTTTAAGCAGAGCATAAAGAATAATGAGCATCATTGATATTTCTTGACATTTTAGCCTTAAAAAACTGTCAATATGGAGATGACAACATTTTTATGATTACTGGTGAGTGAGGGGAAAAAAAACTCCTACATTTGTAGCAGGCTCAAGTAGCAAGACCACCAAGACTTGCACAATCCTTAATCGGGGCAGTTACCAACTGCAGATTCTGTGTGTTCAATATTTAAGGGATCCCTTTCCTTGGGAACATTCAAAGCAGACTACAGAAACTACAGGCCAATTCATGACAGTGTACATAGAGATGTACCATCCAGTATAAGATATCTTTTCCATCACCAGTTTTGTTGCTGGAGAGGGCTGTGCTGGTGGCCCTTGTAAAGACCATTCCCTTGAATGCTGCTTACTTCAAATCTGAGGCGTGACTAACCCTTCCACTGGCTGTGACAAGCAGCATAGCCCACATGCATTAGCTTGCAAACCCAGTGTCAGCAGTGGTGGCTGTTGAGTCACAACTTGCATCGTCTCAAACATGAACAGATCTCCCTTTGCCAGCAGCAGCAGTCTGAGCCAGAGAGAGGAAGGATTTCTATTCTCTGTAGCTTCAGCCATCAGTGTGCTTATTCAGAAAAAGCTACAGCACTAGAGGCAGGGGCACAGAGGGCTATTTTGAAGCAGGAAATGACAGATTGCATTAAATGCTATGAGGGGTTGGGCATGGGGGGGAGGGATGTTGTATTAATAAGTTTCTCAGCAACAGAAGTGCCTGCGTAGACTAGTGTGATAAAGTCTGATGAATTCAGATTGTCACTTCAAAGGAATGGTTTCTGGCATAGATGCAGTCACTGCTGTCTTACTTAAATGAATGGAAAGTTTAATCAGCATGGACAGCTGTGACAATCGGTGAAGGGAACTTTAATTAGCATGGAGTAGACTGCCCATGCAGCAAGTTGAAATTCCCATGGCAATAACAACATTAAATTGGACTGGCAGAACAGGGAGGCCCATAGAGACTGACCACCTCCCCAATTACTTGGGGAAGATTATTCGGTGGGTGACCTTATTGTTACACTAAGCACAAATCAGCCAGCTGACCCACAACCTTCAAGAACCGGTAATTGCACTGGCAAATAAAAATGAAAAGCTCTGCATCGCCTACACTTGGGTTTTCCATACCGACAAAGCTAATGTCAGCTGTATGCCTGGGTAAGGAATACGGGTTGTATTGGATGCAGAAAAATGCATGAGGCAGGTAACCATTAATTAGCTTCCCTATACAATTTAGTTGCTAAAATGAATGGCACATACTAATATCTAATTTTGCTACAGTGTTAAATCCACCTCCTTTCTGTTCTGCAAGTAAGGGAAGTGGGGGGAACTGCACATATGGGAAACCAAGCTGGCACATGTGAGGTATGCGGTGCACAGGCTGCGTGATGAAGCATAGCTTTGGTCTCTTACTGAGGAACTGTTGTGTGCCCATGTAATTAAAGCCTGTGCTGGAACATACACAGTCAGGAGGTTTTGAAGAAAAAACCACAATCATTCTCACCCATGTGGTTGACAAAGAGAGGCTACGTACAGGTGTAAGTCATTGCTTCTTTTGTCTGTCTGTCTGTCTCTCTCATGTCACCCCTAATTTCTGGATCAGATAAGCCCACTGTAAGCCAGAGCTGCTGGCAGAGAGAGCCATCTTGCCTCCCAGCCACCCTCTGCCCAGGCACCTGCGTGGCCACAGGGTGAGCTGCATCAGGGAGCTGGTCCAATCTATCATTAACCTTTTTCTTTCTCCTCAGTTTAACTGCACCCTTTCCCCCTTCTCCTTGCATCACACTGATGCCAGGCAGGCACAGGGGTCAGTGGCAGGGCAGGAGCAGGCAGGAGGGTGCCTGGAGAGAGGAAGGCTCTGCCTTTGGGCAGTGGGGCTGGTTGGCACCACCTAGAATCGTCCGTGGGACTGTGTCTGCAGGCATCTACACACAGGCAAAGCAAGGGCAAAGAATCATACTGGAGAGCTTTTTCTCTCCTGGGTTTGAGAGGCTGTGGCTGCTGATGGAGTAGCAGAGTCTCCAGACACGAGGTGCACAGCCCAACCTCAGCTTGCAAGAAACACTTGGCCCTGTGACCACTTCCTTCAAAGTGCTGTCCTGCAGC